TAATTAATATATAAATGATAATCATTTTTCTGCTGTCTCAGAAAACCACCCTGTGGCTGTTACATTATTTCTACCACTGGCAACAAAGTTTCTGACAAAGAAGTGTGCCACTGGAATGCAGCCTCTTTGTTAATAGAAGTATCATGCAAAAAAAAAAAAAAAAATTCTAACAAAACAATTTGTAGATGTTTCTGGTAAGGGGTCTAATACCAGGGATCAACTTAAAGTGGATCTCCCTGAAAAACCTATAGCACAAAATGCAATTAAAGCAAAAAGACAAGAGTAGGGAAGGAAGGAGAGGAGAAAAGTTGGAAGGAGTACAGAGTACCGACTGCTGCCTCCCACGACAGCAGCAGATGTCATTCAGTGGCACCTGTGCCACCTTTTGTAACAGGATTTGACCTATTTGACTGTATAGGCTATGATTATTCTATTTTCTCAACTTTTCAAACAACTTTGATTATGTCTTCCCTATATGGTACTTCAATACTTTCTCCACGCTTGCTTTTCCAACTTTCATATGTTAATTCCCATATTTCTATTCCCTAAAATACTACTGTTTTTTTTTTTTATTGATTTTGTTTATTTATTTGACAGAGGGAGACACAGCGAGAGAGGGAACACAAACAGGGGGAGAGGGAGAGGGAGAAGCAGGCCCCCCGCCGAGCAGGGAGCCCCATGCAGGGCTTGATCCTAGGACCCTGGGATCATGACCTGAGCCGAAGGCAGACGCTTAACGACTGAGCCACCCAGGCGCCCCTAAAATACTATTGTTTTAAAGCATGATATACATCACCTTCTATTTCATCCATGGATTATCCTTACCCTTCTCCCACCCCTTATTAAATGAACGATATCCAATATACCCTTTTCTTCTACTCGCGGTGTCAAAGTCTTTAAGATCTTTCCATTTTGGGGGCACCTGGGTGGCTCAGTCGGTTAAGCGGCTGCCTTCGGTTCAGGTCATCATCCCAGGGTCCTGGGATGGAGCCCCGCATCAGGTTCCCTGCTCAGCGGGGAGCCTGCTTCTCCCTCTCCCACTCCCCCTGCTTGTGTTCCTGCTCTCGCTCGCTCTCTCTCTGTCAAAAAAATAAATAAAATCTTTAAAAAAAAAAAAAGATCTTTCCATTTCGTCATAAATTGAAAGAGAAAACACTGAAATTTTCTTCAATTTGAGTAATAAATTTCCAACGATATTCAGTCTAGGACCCTCATATTTAAGACCATTTCTTATGTTTATAAAATGTAGGAAAGTATTCTCAATTTATTCATTTGGATAGGAGTCTTGTCAATCTATTTAAAAATATGACACATCTCCAAAAAATTAAAAAGACACTTCTCAAAAAAAAAAAAAAGTCCATCATCCTGTCTCGCCTAGAACATCACCTTCTTTCCCAAGCAGAAGATAGGTTTTCTTTCCTTTCATCTCTGCTCTATTTCTACAACTCAAGAGTAATTCAGTCTACTTGATTTTGAATTCCTTCTATATTCATCTTACTGATGCTTTTTACTTCATAACCTCATACCTCACTCTTCTGAAACTGCCATCTTACTCCTTGGTTTGCCACCACCCCACCATTTCAATGCCAGACACGGCAGCTCATTTACTCTAACAAATTAATTCAGCTGATACAATGCTAATTTTCATCTACACAAAAAGATCTGTAGCTATGCAGTTTAAAAATTGCCCAGTCATGGTCTTATACCATTAAGAAAGGTAGGCAACAAAACTTTCCTGAAAGTCAAGGTCACAAAGAATAATTGCTATACCCCAAACCCCAAGGGGTATAGGTGTTCAGCAATACCTAGCATCCTTCCCAAGTTGTCTAAAAATCAAATGTTCGGTTTCCTACAAAGAAAAGAAAGTGAACATGATGCTTCCCTGAAGACATTCTCTAGCCTCCTGATAGCTGACTTTAAATAATCTGAAGGAAAAGGGAAATCTGGGTTGGTGCAAGTCTTTATTACCCATTACCCTCTAAGTCCCGGACTACTATTAGCCCTAAGACTCACTTTATTTACTTAGAATAGATGTGCAAGACTGAGAAAAGACTGGCTCCCAGGAATCCTTGAGGGACTCCAGGTCCTATGTCTGTTCAATTTTGCTTACTCAACTTCAGCTGGAAAATATAAGTTATTTAAACATGGTTTTCATTGTTAATCTTTTCTCCCTTCTTCAAAGAATTCAAATCATCTCAAGTGGTCTACCCGTGATTCCACAACCTAAGGATAAGTCTTCCCTATTATGCTGATTTCACATATAAAACACATTAACACAGAAGCCTCTCAAAGCCAACCAATCTTCCCATTAAAATTATCACCACTCTCCCAGTCTGCTTTTCATACCTTTCTATTACACCACCTTATTTCTGGTCCTAACTGCCCATTACTACATTACACAGATTCACCTCCCTAATACCTATCAATGAACATGTGAATGCTCTTCTAAACAAAGCACCTCAGATTCTCAACTGTTCATCCATTTTAACTATAAACTACAGATCATGATTTAAGACCCTCTCAAATATGGGCACCTTACCTAATAGGCTTTCCTTGATCACTCTGTCTATATAAAACAAGATATCCATACCTTGCCTTTTCCTCCTAATGGTCACCACCTGACAAACTTATCTGTTCATATGTTTATTGATTGCATAATTCTACCAGAATATGTCTTCCTATGTTTACTCTTTTGTTCACCATTGTATCCTCAGCACCTACAAGAGTAACTGGTATATACTTAGCTCTCAATACGTATTTGTGGAAAGAATGGATGAACGCAGACATGTCACACGGTATGGCTGATACGGAATTAGAAGACCTACAGAGCGTCCACATACCAGCTATATGGTCCTCAACAATTTTTACTTCTTTGTGCTATACTTTCTTCATCTGTAAAAGGGAGAGGTCAAACTTCATCTATAAAAAAATCTGTATAAGTTTTTCCAGCTGCATCACCTTATATTCTTGTTTAACTAGACTAGACATCTTCCCTGGCCCCTATCCTTCCTATCTTCATATCTCTGCTCAGTTTCCTTCCATTGGATTCCCCATTCTCAATCCACACCTGTCAGAATTTTGCTTATCCCTAAAGGTTCATTTTAAGTGCCATTTTCTCCCTGAAACCTAACAATCTGTAAACTCTGTAATTAGAGGGTGGAGTTCTTTTCTATTCTCAGCAGCTGGGACAATACCTCCCATATAGGTGATCAACAAAATGACTGATGAATCATGAGTGTATGAATGAGCAAATGAACAAAGGAAGCTTTTCCTGATTTCCCCCAATTGCTCAGGTAATATTCTGCCTTTAGACTCTTAAAACACTTGGCATCTTTTTGATACCTGTCATAGTTTACTCTGTGCTGTTATTAATTTACTTGCCTAATAAACTAAACTGCAAATTCCTTAAAATTAAGTACTAGCCTAATGAGTCCCATGAGCTCCCTCTACAACATCTACCATAGATCTTTCCCACAGTTTTAATTTATTAAGTTCATCTGATATGTTAAACAATAAAAGGATAATAATGGAGAAAAAGGACTGTGACAGATAACATTCCAACTACCCTGTAGTCATTGAGGACACACGTTGTGTGGATCCTGTCACTGTTAAACTCGGGCATTCAACCATAATTCAAAGATCTCATCACTACTCTCTCCTTTCCACACTCTGCCTAATGAAACTATTACTACTTTCATAAGTAGAATAGCTACTCACTCTTCTATATCACTTACTACCTGCCTTCTCTTGTAATATGCATAAAGCCAATCACACATCAATACTTTCACTTCACTAAACAGCTAAAGTGACTTTTCTGCTCATTTCAGACTTCTGCCCCATCCAATTCCCTCCTCTACAAGGTATGAAACCATTTTTTTAAAAGATCTTCCCATAAGCCTGCCTTAGTTCTGCTCCTGAAAGACAAAAAGGATCCCTTTTAAGGTCTTCCTTCCCCTTTTCTAAGAAGTAGCAACTCTCCAATTAATCTCAGGCTCTAACAACCTTAAATTTCTCTGCCATCAAGATTTCGACCCTCTTTTACCTCTACCTCCAAGCTCTTAATCTGCTTCCATGGAACGTTCCTGGCTGCACAATCGCTGGTGTCTTTCCATTCAATATGCTCTCACCATCACATACTTGGATCCAAAGTATCTATCTTACCCTTCCTAAAATGTTTATCAGTCGCTCCCTTTACACCACCCCAGGCACACATCACACACTCGCACACAGAGCTCTGTATCCATGCGTCACTCTACCACCGACATACAAGTTCCTTACACCACTCTTAATGAATGCACACGACTCTCAGAATGGTATCTTCCGACTACACTAATTCTAACTCAGTTTCTTCTGGGGAACCCAACACCGTCCATAGTACCTCCCTCTTTCCTCACTTCCTCATCCATTCCCCCCTCTTTATGCTCCCACCCCCACCCCGCCAACTAACTACAGATGTCATTTTTCCTGAGCACTTTCAACCCGAGAATAAAGAACAAACTCGGGTTCCCAGCGGTCTCCTCTCCTCTAGTCCTCCGTCCTCGCCCCCCTCCCCCAGGTGTGCAGACTTCCACCTCGTCCTCTCCCCATGCATGGCCCCAACCAATCCCACACCACACAATGTTACCCCCACCACCGGGATCAGACTCCACACCCACCTCCACTCGGGGTCGCCGCCGCCGCCGCCGCCCCCCCGCCCCCGAGCCTGCGACCCCGGGGGCGCGCGCGCACACACACATTCTCACGCTTCCCTAACCTCCTTCCCGGCACCAGGACTAGCTGGCTACGCTGGAACTCAGCCCGGCCCGCGGGGGCTAGGCAACCGAGAGTGTGCCCGCCCCGCCCCCTCCCGCGGATTCCCTCGCAGCCCCCGCCTCCCCGCCGGGAAAGGAGAGGACACAGCAACTCCCCCGCCACCCCGACACACCACCTCTGTGTCTGTTGCTCCGTACCCCAACCCTCGACCACCTCCCCCCACGTACAGGGGCGACTTCTGCACTCACCGGAGATACTGCGCGCTCTGCAGGCTCATCCTCCGCCGCCGCGTCTTCCCGCGAAGCCTCTGTGGGTCTCTCAGGCTCCTCGAAGCGGCCCCGCGGCCCCGCGGGTACTGGCGGCCGCCGCCATCTTCCTCTCCTCCGGCTCCTCCTCGCTCGGCGGGGGGGTGGGGGTGAGTGAGGCGAGGGGGAGGGAGCGGGGAAAGCTGCTCTCGCGGCTGCTCTGGCCCGTGGGGCGCAGGGACACTCCGACCCGGGAGGGGGGAGGGGGAGGGAGAGGGAAGGGGGCGGGGGGAAAGAGGAGGGAGAAGCAGAGGAAGGAAGTGGGGGTCCCTCTCGCGAGATCTCAGTGGCGCCGGTCCCTCCGGGTGACTTCTGCCTCTCTGTAGCGCTCCCTCTTGGGATCGGCTAGCTGTGAGGCGCCTCTGCGGCTGCTGAGCGGCCTGCTGGAGGCGTTTGGCGGCTTCCGGCCAATCCACCCCGCTCCCGCGCGAGGGGGCAACCCCAGCTTCACCGGGAACATCGAGCCCAAATCAACCGGGAGTTACACTCAAAGTCTTCCCCCGTCTTTCCACTCCACCCGATTTCTCTCTTCCTTTTTCCACTCCTCCACTCTTCCCTACCGGAAACACTGCCCCTTCCTCCTACGGTTCCGCCCGCCAGTCCCTCAACTCTAGTCTTCCCTCGAGCCCCAGAGAGTGACGCTAAGGACCCCCTCCCCCTTTCTGGGGCTCCTCCTCCTGCACGCCTGGAGACTGTTGAAGGGGATGGGGTGGAGCCCAGAGAGGAAGAGAAAGGAAACCAATCGGATTGGATAAGCAGCTGCCATGGCAACTGGAGGCTGTGGTTGTATTGTCATAGTAACCAATGTGTGCGGACTGGGGGACCCTCCCTTTTCCCGGATTCCCGGGAAAGTGCCCAGGGATCCCCCTTGGCTTCCCTTCCGTCTAAAAGTCTCCCCCAGGTTGGGAATCCGAGTGATCTCCTGGGCGGTGAAGTTCATTTCCTCTTCCCTTTCCCCTTCCCGCAACAATGGGGGGACCCCGAGGCATTCACCGTGGGCTTTTCCACCCGCCTGCGGGCGGGAACCACCTCCAGTTTCCTCTCAGTGCGGGGCGTGGAGAGGGCCGGGCCTGCGAGGAAGACGCCGGGCCTGAAGGCTGGCGAACTGCGGACTGGAGCGTGGAAGGCGAGGCGGCCGGGCGAGGTGGCGGTGCGAAGCTGTGAGGCTGGCGAGGGGTTTCCCCAGGACTGCCTCGGGCTCGAAGAGGCGGGATCCCGCCAGGACGGGGTCCCTGAGGGAGGAGAACGGCACACGACGACCCAGATTCCTCTCCTGCTGGGCAGGGACCGCAGACTTTTCCTGGCGGGTCGACCCCTTACCGAAATCCCCCAACTGCCGCCCACACACGCCCTTGGCGGCGACCGAGCCACCTCCTGCTGCGGGGAGGCCGCCAGAGTGTGGGAACACATCTTAGGAGACTTGACAAGTGGTTTTCCAGCATTTAGAGCCAGGGACGTGGTGAGACGCCCACGACTGCCATCCGTCTCAGAGGCACCCCCCAGTGGGGGTCCCACTTGATTGTTAAAAGCCGACCTCTGAGTTCCTCCCTCTGCAGACTTCTCTGATGGGTCCACAGTGTTTTAGAACTTGTCACTCTGTATCTTTGGGGTCTGAGAGGAAAACTTGTGTAAAACACTAGCGACAAGAACCTAGATACTGGCGCGAACTACCGATGAAAGGCACTTAGGAAAAGGATTTTCATTCTTAGAACAAATCTTTTTGAAAGTATTAGGTATATTTCGTGTCAGGTTTGGGGCTAAAAACCAGAAATAAAGAATGGGGTCAATAATACTATGGAGTGTGAGAAGTAGCTGGAGAAATGGTCATTCGCACGGTCTAAAGGACTTGTTTGACATTTTACAAATTATATTTTCAATTTGTATTGTGGCGTCCATTACGTAACAGTACCCAAATACTTTAGGATGTATAACTTATAACCCACCCCCGGAATGCAGCCCTCACTAGATAGTTAATGCTGTTTCCATGCTAGGTAAAGAGGCACTTTTCAAGATCCTTCCCTGAGACCACACCTATTACAAGACTAGACCAATGTCTATTTGGAACATCACGTATACGTTTGGAGGAAACGAAAGTACAGGCTACTCTGAAATAAATCCGAAGAATAGATTATCATTAACGAAACAGAACTTGAACTATGCCCTGCGCCTCCTGCTGCCACAGCCTACTGTGATGTGGTGTGAAGCGTGGGGATTGCAGCTGTACAATGCCCCCTGTCATCCCTTGCTGCACCAACGCGCCACCCACTCACGGAAAAGAGAGCCACCTAGTGAAAGATTGTCCTCATCTCTGGTGTAGGTACTTCTTTTCCTTCAACTTTAGAGCCCAAGGGTGGAGATTACTACCACATATTACCTAAAATACCCTACATCTCTTTCCTGAAATGTATTACATCTTTAAAAAAGATTTTAGCCAGAATAAAAAATTTATGTCAGGTAAAATAGTTACTCCCTTAGTAATCATCACAATAACACCTTTTATGTCTGTGGCTTATAGCTCCAATAAACAGTATTTGAGCATATGTCATGATACTCTTGACAAGGGATCTAGAAGAGTATTACTATCTTCTCATTTCAGAAATAAGGAAACTAGGATCAGAAAGATGAATCCTTTTGTTTTTTTTTCTATAAGCATTTACTAAACATTTATTATATTTCAGGCACTGTCCAGGTTACTGTGGATACCATAATGAAGACCACGTCCCTGTCTTGGAGAAACCCACCTTCTGGTAGAGATAGAGAGAGTGGAGAAGTGATAAGAATGCAGTATGGTGGGTACAGTAATTAAGGTAAGAACAAAGTATTTTAGGTACACAGAAATATAAATAACCTTTATATTTTATAGTAGTTTTCCTAAGAATTTTATAGAATTCTTCAATAGCTTTACAATGTCCCTACAAACTAGATAGGATAGTAACATCAATGTCATTCCTGAAAATAACTTTTGAAAATCAATAAAACTCAGAAAACCCGCAATTTACGTATTGTTTAATGTACATTTTCCAATCTCACCTCTTTCTACTGCCCCCATCAAGAGTTGTAGAATACAAGCATCCTCATGCAATAACTTTTATTCACTTTTTTCCCCTGCAGATATAAATTACATCTAAACCAAAAGAAATTAATGAGAAACTCTTACTTTGTCTAATCCTACCAGGTTTTTTTTATTAACAATATAATATATTATTTGTTTCAGGGGTACAGGTCTGTGATTCAACAGTCTTACACAATTCACAGCACTCACCGTAGCACATACCTTCCCCAATATCCATCACACAGCCACCCCATCCCTCCCACCCCCCACCACTCCAATAACCCTCAGTTTGTTTCCTGAGATTAAGAATTCCTCATATCAGTGAGATCAGATGATGCTTGTCTTTCTCTGATTGACTTATTTCGCTTAGCATAATACCCAAGGGCAAGATTTCATTTTTGATGGCTGCATAATATTCCATTACACACACACACACACACACACACACACACACACACACCACATCATCTTTATCCATTCATCTATTGATGGACATCTAGGCTCTTTCCATAGTTTGGCTATTGTGGACATTGCTGCTGTAAACATTGGGGTGCATGTGCCCCTTCAGATCACTATATTTGTATCTTTGGGGTAAATACCCAGTAGTGCAATTGCTGGGTCGTAGGGTAGCTCTATTTTCAACTTTTTGAGGAACCTCCGTACTGTTTTCCAGAGTGGCTGCACCAGCTTGCATTCCCACCAACAGTGTGGGAGGGTTCCCCTTTCTCTGCATCCTCGCCAACATCTGCCGTTGCCTGACTTATTAATTTTAGCCATTCTGACTGGTGTGAGGTGGTATCTTATTGAGGGTTTGTTTTTTTTTTTTTTAACTTATTGAGGTTTTGATTTGTATTTCCCTGATGCCAAGTGTTGAGCTCTTTTTCATGTGTCTGTCAGCCATTTGGATGTCTTCTCTGCAGAAATGTCTGTTCATGTCTTCTGCCCATTTCTTGATTGGATTGTTTGTTCTTTGGGTGTGGAGTTTGATAAGTTCTTTATAGATTTTGGAAACTAGCCCTTTATCTGACAGGTCATTTGCAAATATCTTCTCCCATCCTGTCGGTTTTCTTTGGGTTTTTTTGACTGTTTCCTTTGCTGTGCAAAAGCTTTTTATCTTGATGAAGTCCCAGTAGTTCTTTTTTTTTTTTTGAAGATTTTATTTATTTATTCACGAGAGACAGAGGGAGAGAGAGAAGCAGAGGGAGAAGCAGGCTCCCAAGGAGCAGGGAGCCCGATGCAGGACTCAATTCCAGGACCCTGGGATCATGACCTGAGCCGAAGACAGACGCTTAACCATCTGAGCCACCCAGGCGCCCATCCCAGTAGTTCATTTTTAATCCTACCTGATTTTAAGGGTTTTTTTGTTTGTGCCTGAGTGATTTTGTCAAAAGATCATAAGCTAGCAGACCTAAGTGTGCATTCCAGCTCTGCCCTCCCAGTCTCTAACCTTCAGTTTCTTCCTTGACCAATGTGAAAACATTACCTGTTACAGGATTCCTGTAAACTTTAATGATGATATATGTGACTAAGTATAAATGACGTATAACCCTGGCACTTGATAAATGTTAATTTCCCTTTGCCCTCTTACTCTTTTATATCAAGCTAAAAGGAATAGAACTACTACAGCATAAAATTATTGTTTTTAATTGGTAGCTTATCTACTCTTTGTAATACTCATAGGTCTGACCACACACCCAAATCTATTCTTATTCAGTGCTAGAAGATAAATTTCTTTATCCATGACTCTGATCACAGAAAAGAATATAATATCGGGGGGGCACCTGGATGGCTCGGTGGGTTAAGCGTCTGCCTTTGGTTCAGGTCATTGTCCCAGGGTCCTAGGATTGAGCCCTGCATTGGGAGCCTGCTTCTCCCTCTCCCTCTGCCACTCCCCCTGCTTGTGCACTCACACATGCTCTCTCTCTCTCTGTCAAATAAAATCTTTAACAACAACAAAACAAAAACAAAAACAAAAAGAATACAATATCAGGATGTTTTGAGTCAGATTCTGGAGAGTTGAAACTTTTAAAAAACTTTTTATCACTAAAAATAGCCTAATATGGGGTG